GGAGTAAGAGGGGACAATGAAAAAGGAACATGAGGAAAAATCAACATTGTAGTTGCAAAGCTTCCTGTTATGAGAAAAGTTTAGAATTCAGTAAAATAATTTGAAACTGAAAAAGAACTAGACAGATAACTAACTTACCAGTCAAAACTACTGAGACCTTTCACAGCCTTTTGGGTAGGGGCTGAATTTGGCTTGGCATTTAGAAAGCTAGGCAGTAGAGGTTCTTCACTGATATAAAGAAAATGGGATATGGAATGTTGTTGTTATGCTCATTCTCCAAGGGGTTTTATAATAGTATTAAGGAAAGGATTAAACCTTGTGGGATTCCTCATGAGGAGTAGGAGAACATAACGAGGCATGTTCTGAAAACAAAAAGAAATCCGGCTATTTCAGGACATTCCTGTTCCACTTTGCAGTTCATAAAAGGCTATTTGATCAATGATATCAAATATTGCAGAAACATTTGGCAGTTTCTGAATCTTCTGTTCAGAACAATAGTATGGGCTCTGTTTTAATCCTTTACTATGTCTTAGAATAGTTGGTCCTTAAACATGCAAGGAAAAGTCTTTTTCTATATGAATGACTATTGTGTGCATCTTTACCTTTTCAGAAATCCTTCATAGATTGCAGTTCGTTCATGTAAAATCTTTGTTATTTCTTTGAGGATAAAAAGAGATAAAACAAAACATATGACATTGGTGGGAATAAAATGTAACTCAAAATTAAAAGGAAAACTGCAAGTACGGATGTTGATGCTTTTTTCTGTAGAAAGTATAAGGAGATGCTAGGAGGTATTACTAATCTAGGGGTTAACGATTTCTATTTGTCTTAGGTAAAACTTGAAAGTTATTCGGTTCTAGCACATAGCTTGAGTTTATTGGATGTCCATCTACTGAGGATGGGCTTATCCAGAACTAAATTTTCAAATGCAGATAACTAAACCACATCTACAAAATTAAATACCTATATAAACATCTAACCATGTACATAAAATATATTTGTTTTTGGCAATGCTACTCCAGGCTCAAGGCATCCATATTAATTACATTGAGAGGTTTGGGATTAAAACAAAATAAAACAAAACTTTTACTGCTGGAACAAACCTTTAAGTGAGATGATAGTATCTGGTTCTTACATCTTTATGCATGTTCTGCTAGACCAAGGAGCCTGATAACATTATGGATTACAGTTATATGTTCACAAAACCCCAGTCATGTCCTTAAAAAGGAGCTCAAACCCCCAGGACATTTGGTAAGGTGTGTGACAATACACATTGTGTATTAAGAAACTGACAAATTAATTATTCAAAATATTTTTCTTCCCTTTTTAGCAAACACATTTCCTGGGACAGGTTTTGTTTTGCTATGCTGGTATAAACAGGACAGCAGCTTGGAATAGAATTGGATCACTGAATCCTTTCCAGCCTAGCTGACTGTCAGTATAATACATTCCTACTCCTCAGTAAGGCTGAACTGAGTTTGTGTCCTTTAAAAGCTACTGCCTTGTTACATAGTTCATTGAGGAAAGAACAGTTTTATTAATGTGACCTAACATTTATTACTACTGTCATTATAATAAAGTAATAGGTGACATATTAATATAAGTTTTAGCTTTGTTCTCTTAGACGTATTTTAATCAGGAAATTGATGATTTTTGTACTGAAAAGCCTATTTACTATCTAAGGATGCTCTTACTTACTGTAATTACAGTGCATCAAAGCAGGCTAAATTAATCGAGTCTGCCAGAGCATGGTAATTATCATGGTCCAGTAGACTCCAGCATCTCATGTATTGGCATCATGTGCTTAAAAATGGGGGTGCTTTAACTATAGGTCATCAACTGAGCTTTAGTTAAAGTGACCCTGCTGCCATTTTTAAGCGTGGGGACACTGATACATGAGCTGCTTCAGGAACTTTAATTAAAGTGGTTCCGAGAGCCACTCTCATTAAAGTGCCCCCTCTGGGCTTAACGAGAGGTAGCTATCCTCTTAGTGGTTGACCATGAACCAGGTAACAGCATAGGAGAATCAACAAAATAAGAACTGCTTGCGTTTCTTTTTAGTATATGACTTATGCAACATGTGCTGCAAGTACCAACGCTACTGTAGATAGGCTAATACCACCTGCATGCTCTGCTGGAAGCTACAGTTTTTATGGACACACTCAAAACTACTGTAGAACAAGGAAGAGCAAGGAGATGGGGCATGACTCATGGCAGAGGTCTCAGGCACAGAATGAACAGTGAAGCTAAGTTCTCCAAGTCTTGCTTGGGATGGAAATATAACTTTTATCATTTATTAGATGGTGTATATAAATAGGGAAAAAAAAGGATCCAATTCTCCTTTTCATTTACCAATAAGGTCTCTTCTCTTTAGAAGGGCCTTCCATACTTAAGACATATACTACACCAAAAGCCATGTTATCTAGCACTTTACCACCTGGAAAGCTCCACTAACTGGCATGTGTCAATACAAATCTTTCTTCCGAGAGCTGCAGCAAAAGCGAAACCAGAAGTCCCACTTCCAGTTTTGCCACCGTGAGCCAAGTCCAACTTCTTTGTTCTGGACCACAGCCTGGGGAAAAGCAGCCTGTGCAGGACTCCCCTCCCTGTTCCATGGCACACTTACGCCAGGGAGTGAAAGCCCTGGTACACCAGACACGGCATATTTGATTCACTGGCATATTTGATTAACCTGCATCTCCCATTCCCAGGGGATGCTGAATAACAGAGCTTTTACTGCAATATGTCTCTGTCTTCAGAAGTGGTTAAGCACTAATATAGTTAATAATTTATTAGCACTTCATATTATACCCAGTTTTCAGGAGCTCATAGATCAGCTATAAAATTGCACCATGAATTGAAATCTAAAATTTAAAAATTTAGCCAGGCAGTAGTTTGATTTGTTTTAAGTGAACAAATTACAATATTTCTGCTCTATATTCCAAGAGTTTGGGAGAGCTAACTGGTTTTACACCTTTATTATTTGTTCCTTTAAGTCTTGATCCGTGCTTTAATCAGGTAGGACACTGAAGTTTGTACATATTGTAAAAGAATTTTATTACTATTGGAATAAATAAATGTAAACTTGTTTTTAATGTTTTTTTTCTGAATGAGAACCTTAACTTGGAAGAAAAAATAAAATACAAGGCCCTGCATGTACTTGATATGTAAACCAATTCTTTACTGATACTTAAGAGAGAAGAATGAAAGAGATCAAATATTGTTACGCACTGAATAAATTTACTTCCTTTTATTATAGCTAATTCTAAGAAATGAATTATTTAATGAAACTAGGCTTTTGAAACAGTGGCCTTCACCTCAAACATAGGCACCTTGTTGTGGGTTGACGTGTGGTAAGAGGGGTTTGGCTGGCGATGTTTTTGCCTAGGTTGGTGTTTCAGTGACAGGAAGGCAGATGGAACAAAGAAAGGAAACCACTGGTAGCATGGCCCTGAGAAAAAACTGAGAGAGTTTGAAGGTTAAATGTTGACAATGAAGTGGCTCAGAGCTGTGATCAAAGAAAGTGTTTCCTATTGTGTTATGGGATCAGACCAGTATTCATTCTTTGTAAATGAACAGGACTGCATCAAAGAAACACTTAATGAATTAATCAGCCAAATTTGTCTAAACACTTGAACCAGAGGTTTAGCAGTATTATTAAACTACAGAGATGCTTTCCTTTTTAGGCTTTTTCTTTTTTGGAAATTTACCAATGAGTTACACAGTGGATTCACACAGAAGTGATAATTTTCACCTGATCTTGCACCTGAAAGTGCTCTACAGCTGTGACTAAACACAAATGCATAGCTGTAGACCACTTAAAAAGGGCTCAGTCCCATGACAAACTGAACCCACATTACATGAGTGTTACCAAGTGGGTTGCCTTCATTACAAAGTGGAGCACTTTCATTAACTTGTGTCTGCACATACCAGGAGTAGAGCAGGGCTGACACAGCCCAACCCTGCTCCTGGTACTTTTTTCAGCATGGGAGTGGGGGAAGGGAGCAGAGTGAACTCATTTTGGGAGTTGCCTAGCTGGCACTGGAAGGTGGGGCAGGTGGATTGGAACCCCCCCTGAAGTGGCAGCCTCCAATCCACCCCAACACACACACTCCAGCACAGACTAGGAAAATCTCAGAATGGACCTCCCTCCCCTGCCTGATCCTGTCCTACCCTGAGACAGCACTGGGGGTGGGGGGGAGATGGGGAGAGCAGAGCTAGAGGAAAAGGCTGCCTCTCTCCCTGGATTGAGTCCAAATTGGAGCTTGATTCCCCCATCCTCCCAACCCAACAGCTAATGTCTGTTGGGTCAGGAGGATCAATCTAATTCAGGGGAGGGCAATTATTTTGGCTGGAGGGTGACTTAATCAATTTTGGTGAGCTGTTGTGGGCTGCAAGGGTAGCCCCACCTCTTGACAGGTGCCCCACCCCCTGGTTGACTTCTTTGGATCAGAAGTCCCACCCCTAATTCCTGACCTTTACCACCAGAAGTCCCTCCCTTTGCCCTCCAAAGTACTCCTTTTGGGAGGGGAGGGTTACCATCTTGGAACCAGAAAAAAGTGAAATCAAATACCTACTATAATATATTTTAATGTTATTACAAAAATATTTTATCATCATTTGTGTTTGCATAATATATATATATATATATATATATAGGTGATTACATAATAACTCAATAATAACGTCTTACTCTTGTATTTTGTATGTGGGGGTGTGGTTGGGTGTAGGTGTATGTGTATGGTGAGGTGTGGGGGCATTTTGTGATGTGGCGTGTTTGTGCATGCAGGGGTAATAGGGTATGTTGCAGGTGTCTGTATATGTGGGGGGTTGTGGGGGCAGGGTGTGGGTGTATGGCATTTGTAGGGTGTGAAGGAGGGTGGGGAGGGTATTTGGAGACCCCCCACATACTTCCTCCCATGGCGCACAGTCCCTGCTACTGGGCAGTCAGGGTGCTCATGGCTCGCACAGGTGCTGCCACCTGGCAGTGCATGGCTCTGGCCAGAGCTGCATGTGGTAACAAGCAGCACAGCCAGGCCAACCCAGCTCCATAGCATAGGGCTTTGCATAATGCATGTGCAGCTCCTGGCACTTGTGCACCACTGGGGGAAGTCCTGTGCAGTGAAGCCAGCTGCCTTCCCTGCCCCCTGCTGTGCAGGTCCTGGGATTCTGCTGGGAAGTAGGGGGCAGGGTGGGGGTTATGGGAGGGGGCAGGGGAAGCAGACAGCTCCATTGCATGGGACTTCCCTGGTGGCATACAAGTGCCAGGATCTGCACATGCACCATATAGAGTCCCACACAACAGAGGCATGCTGGCCTGGCTTGTACTCCTCGCCACCATATGGAGTGCTGGCTGGAGCCATGCACTGCTGAGTGGAAGCACCTGTGCAGGCCATGAGCACCCACTGCCTGCTGCTGCTGCCAGTGGTGGGGGCTATGCGCCATGTGGGGGAGTATGTGGGGGAGTCCCCATACCCCGCCACCCTCCCTCACATCCACACCCTACTCACCCAAGCTCCATGCTTCCACTGCTCCCCCTGGGCATGGGCCTTGTGCTGCTGCCAGCCCCAGCCCCACACTCCATGCTCCCACCCAGCTGCAGCTAGCCCCACTTCCTCTGCTGCCACCCTTGCCACTTCTCTACCTGGTGCCTGGAGCAAGCGGGACACCAGGGAAGCCAAGCAGGTTCCTCTGCAGCTGCAGTGGGGGCAGCAGTGACAGCACCAGCCTCGCCCAGCTGCATGCTGACTGGGCCAGGCTCTTCCACCCATGAGAATGGGAACAAGCCATGTGGGCTGGGCAAGGTACAGTTAGTTGGTGGGCACCCGCAGGCTGGATGAAATTGCCTGGTGGGCCACATGCAGCCCACAGAGTGTATTTTGCCTGACTCTGGTCTAACTCATGGCGCTTTCTGTGAAGTTCCATGAGTTAGACTGGGGAGCTAAACGTCTGTCTGTGCTTCATGTTACACCAGTGTGTAATAATTTTAATAAACAGATATAGCACAGACAATAATTGAAAGAGCCTAGTTCCATATTAAATTTAATTATCTTAACAGTTTTACTGAAAAATTAATCAGGTTGAAAAATAACTCAGACTATTTATTCAACAAACCACTTAGGTATACACTTAAATGAAGTGCTATGATATGGTCATAGTTCCAGATCATACGAATGACACACTTAGGAAACAGGCAAATAATAAAAGGCCACAAGGAAGTTGCTCCTTTCCCTTACTCCAGGAAGTAAAACCAAACAAAAATTCTAGTCCAAGATACTACCAAAATCCATTATCATTGAAAGATTCCCATTTATTATAATACAGTTGAATTATCCTAATCCTAGCTCTGTTTGGCACAGGGAATCTCCAAAATGTGTGTGCTCTTGCTTGTCATGTGTTCTTTGTAAGTAATGCAGGATGGTAGAAACCTGAACATCTTGACTTCTTTTTGAATTGCCCTGCTGAGTGCAAAGTTGTCAAAGCTATAATTAATCTGTATTTAAATGTTAGTTTAAGTTCTTGTAGAAGAAGGAGCATTGTAAACATAGGGCAAGAGTATGGAGCCTTCATTTTCACCTTTGAGCTCACATTCATAAGCAGTCTCTTGAGAACCACTATAAGAAATCTACCATCTGGTTATTAATACTTATGTTGCAATAAAGTCCAGACATGCTCATAACTCTTTGTGCCCAGTGATATACAAAGGCATACAGGCACTGTCCTTGATCAGAAGAACCTGTATACTGGTAAATGATGTATAGAAAGAGAGAGAAAAGGAGAGGCAATTAAATATGTACCATTTTCATGTGTCATATATATGTTTGCTTCTAATAGTATAAATAGATAAAGTTAATGCAGGTGCTAAAGCATTAGGTATAATTTCTGGAATGAAATTATACTTAGTCTAGTCTGCTTATTGAAAGGGAAAGTGATATATCTTCATTTCCATTTGATGTACTTTTTTACTTCACCATAATAAAGAATGATGACACTTTTAGATGTTGACATTTTAGAAAGCTGAGATGGGTATGTAGTGGACTACAAATGATGAAAGCTTAATGAAAGTTATTTTCTCATAATAGCTATAAATTGGCTCTCTTCACAGAGCAGAGTGGTCCTGTGGATTGGGTTTGAACTTCTGCCCCCTTTGTAGTGACCAGAGTAATAAAGAATCATTCTAAATATGCAGCATTTTGATTCAACTTGCTTTTTCCCATTATTCCTATACCTGGGAAAGAATTATCAAAAAGACGTGAAGGGGCATTATTTCATGTTGTAATAGAATTCAAGCCTAAAATTGAAGATCAGAAACTATCTTCTATATATATGCTGGGAGAGCATAAACATAAAGCAATGGGGACAGCTTCAACTTCTAAACAGAAGATAATAAAGCTTTTATAATGCCCAAGCTGTGAGCCTAAATTAGTTCTCCTGCTGTATGTATTTTTATAAACTAAGGCCCTAGTCCTCCAGTGTTAAAGTCAATAATGCTTCTTCTCCTGACAGTATGATAGGGCCATAAGCAGCTAACCTGGCAGAAAAATCAAGCTAATTAATATACATCTTTATAATCTCAGTTAACTGAATTTTATTGCTTTATGCTGCTCTTCATTTTACGTGCCATCATTAAAGACAATAGCATCAGTTCACACCTTGATGCACACCTGAATCTCATTAATATTTATGCATACAAATTAAGGTGATAGTAAACTCTTTTGTCATCTTGAGTGGAGACTTCTGAACTATGGTAAGTATTCACAAATAGAGAGGATATAGTGCAAAAAACAGATCAGCAAAGAGGTAATATTCTGCATACTAGTTGTGCATAACATTGTGAAAGTGCAAAATTCTTTACAGTAAGAATTTTTAACCAGTCACCCAAAACATATAAGAACCTAGAAAATATACATTGTGTATCCTAAGAGTAGGGTGCATCTTTCATCGAAGACAGAAGTACAGATGGGTAAGGAAGAAATGTATTCAGTAAACATCCTTTGTAGACAGTTCATAGCATGGGGATGGTGAAAGAAAATGATTTTATTCATTATACTTTATAAACCAGTTACTTCAAATGTGTGTTATAATCCTTGTTTTCACAGAGAGAGAGAAGGAGAGAGAATTTGGAACCAAACTGTTCTTTCCTGCTAGTGTATGATCACCTTAGAACAGCAGCACACTATTTATCGTATTAGATTTTAATCATCCTTGTTATAGTCCAAGTCTCTTTGCACTAAGCAATTAGTAGATGTCAATCTATGTTCTCCCAACACTGTTGATATGAATAAATAGTACTTTGGTGAATTTCAATAAATTAGGCTGTAAATCATTTAATACATGCATGGCTGGAAGGCTCCTAGATTTCATTTATCTCAGAGGACTAGGAAGACTGTTCCTGAAAACATCATCATCAACAACAATAACAACAACAGAATTCCCATAGTTTCCAAAATGTCTGTGAATTAGAATAGTCCTTATTTTTGTGCCTGTTAATTTCTTAGAGAAATCTTCCCCAATTCACAGAGATAATCTTCAGTTGTATGGACCTTTCACACTTGTGCTTCTGGAGGTCATAGTGGTATGACATGTTCTCAAATGAACACAAGTGTAGGAATATGTTATATTTTTCTTTGTCCCCAATTACCATAATTTTAGATGCAAATCTATGGTCACTGAAAGTAATGTATTAACAGAAACAAAGTATTTGTAAAACAACCTTGCAGTGGCCTTACTGTGTAGAAGGTGTTTTAAAATTCTAACAATTTAAAACATGGTTTAAGCATGCCGAGTAAACACATCATCAAAGGTTTAACTGTTTTTTGTTTTAAGTGCCAGCATCAGTTTACTAAACATAAGCTAGAATTTATAAGTGATTTATAGAATTAATGAGGAAAACTCTTCTTACTTATAATTCTTCATATTGGAAGCCTGAAATTCTTAGTAAACTGTTTGCTCAACCTAGCAATTTAATAGGAGTATGTTGTCGAGCTTCTTAAGGATGTATTCTAGTTGCTTGGCAATGGCTTGTGGAGCAATTCATTTAAAGTTCAATGAACATAGGATTGGAGTAATTTATTCAAATCCACCACTTATTAAATCAGGATTTGCCTTTTTTTAAATATTTATTTTTTTTCTCACTAATGAAATGGACTTGAAAAGAATTAGCTAAACCTCAGTGGAATTGTGACAAACTAATTCTGATTACTATGTTGTCTATTAAAATTTTCATTGTCAGTAACTATAAGCCTAACAGAGATGAATACATTTTCTATTGTGCTGTAGATTGTCAGAAAAGAAGTTATTTTAAAACAGTTTATTGTCTCAACAGCATCTTTCTTCCAAGATAAGTAACAAGCATATAATACATCTGCATTTTTAATAGGCTTGTGAAGTATCTAAGTGTTTCATAAAAAGGGTTGCTTTCTACCTTTACAACCAGTAAATGACTAAAATGATAAAAGGTAAATAAACTGTGTTGTTTATTTATTGAATTAAATCTTAAACAGGCACTGATCATTTAATATGTGAATTATGCCCTTAATAACAAAGAAAAACATTATAATAGTCTTTGACGTTCAGCTTGTGTGGACCAAACTAATACAAAAATATGTGCCTCTCTCAAATTATTAAAAGTGTGAATTTAGGTACTAGTTATTTTAGGCAGCATTGAAAACTCCATCCCCAGATTATTTCTTATAGACCACTGTTGGCACTAGATTTATGACCCAGATACCTTTTTCTGGGAGGACCCAATCCTTCAGAAAGACCATGACTTCTTCCATTCGATAATAGGTAAATTTTATTGATACACAGTAGGGCTGTGTGAAGCTTTGGTTGGTGATTTGATTCGTAGGAGATTCAGCCTGATTTGGTGACCGAATCTCCAACTTTGAATTGAATCAGTGGACCAATTAAAAGGTCTAAATCAATTCAAACCTCTCTGAATCCCCTGCCAGGCCCCATCCCCTGCCTGCTCCCCCAGCCCCCGCATGGCTGCCCCACCAGCCCCAGCTCTCAGTGCTTTAAAAAAAAGCTGCACTCACCGGTTGCTGCCGGGCAGAGGGTGATCCCTACTGCCCCACACTGCATGGGGGGCTCTGTCACAAGATTTCCTCCCCCCCTCGTTCCTCCACCCCCCTCCACAGGTGCCCAGCCCAGGTCAGCTCTGGCCCTGTATTTTTCCTCTTCTTCTGAAATATGAGAGAACCACAGTTGGAAATAGGAAGAAATGAGTGTACCAGTGGCCTTGCTTTGTTTGTGTTTTTCACGTGCTCAAGATTAAGCTACTGCTCACATTGGCATCTGAAAGAAATTTATCTCATTCCTTACCATTTTGGGAACTTTTGGCATTGGTAGAAGTGTTTGTATTACCCCTGTACTGTGGCCACATAAAGCACATGTAGTCTGATCATGCTCAGCAGGCTGTACACTGGCCAGAGACTTTAGCTATGGACAGACATTAGAAAAATGTGAAGCAGAATCAACCTAAGTTATGCAGTTTTCTGTAAGAGGCGTAGGTTCGATCAGTAGTGAACAGAACACATTCTTCCGTTGATGTGGAGACAAATCTTGGACCAAGTTCCACAATTTTTAAACCAGTCTGTATGTGCTGAATTTCTGTTCCATTATGGGTATAGACTGATTTGTGATTACTTATACTGGTAAAATTGTAATGTCTGTATCTGACGAGACATTACATTTAGTGAGAAGCTGAATACACTGCCAGTTTTCTGCCATTGACTTAGTGTTAGCCTTGGCATAAACTGTTCATCCTAGTACAGTATAACCTCATAAATCCAGCATGCTCAGGACCAAGCACCTGATGGATATTTGAAAATGCTGGGCTTTTGAAACCTGAGCAGTGGCCAGTTGTGGAGGTGGGCTGGGAGGTAGAGGGAAGGGGTGGCTAGTCCCAGAACAGTGGCTGCACTCAGAATGGTGGTGCAGGGTGGTGAATAGCAGCAGCAGCCACCACATACAAGCTTCCCACTCTGCATCTGGGGGGAGGAGGTGGGGGTGAAGGAGAGCAGTGGCCAGTCCCAGAGCAGTGCCAGATTTTTGAGAATTCTGGATTTTTTAGATTCGGATGTATGAGGTTATACAGTAGTAATATCCTAGCTTTTCAGAATATATCCCTGAACAATGGACATCTGAATGCTTTCACTTTGTCCTAAGGTTAAATAGTTTATCTCAGGAAAAAAGTGACATCTGTTTGTAAGTTGCATGTGCTTAAATCCTAGGAAAGGGCAGGGGAAGAGGAGAGCTATCTCCTATCCCTGTCCCAAAAAATGACTAGTCAGGGCCCTTACCCAGAATGTTCAAGACTGAGTTTCTAGCCTCCCCCTTGCCCAAATGAGTTTTGAATTAGCAACTTTCTGACTTCTAAGCAACTTATCCATTTGCAGGTACTGCTGCCTTGCCTTATATATTTTTTGGGTGTAATGTATCATAGAAAGTTAAGGTTGGAAGAGACCTCAGGAGATCATCTAATCCAACCCCTAGTTCAAAGCAGGACTATCCCCAACTAGATCATTCCAGCCAGGGTTTTGTCATTCTTAGGCAGGCCTTACAAACTTCCAAGAATGTAGATTCCATCACCACTCTGGGCATGTCCAGATGAGCATGCACGTGCCTTTTGCCCCATCTCACACCCCTTTGAGGTGGAGCAAGAGCCATGTGCAGGAATGACAAAATGTCAAACTAAAACCCGGGGGAAAAAACTGGGTCAGGGCATGGTCCCAGACTGTGCCCTGAGGCAACCAGAGGCTCAGTCCTCCAGAGACACTCTGTCAGAGTGCCAGAGTGTCTCTATGATTGACCCTTTCCTCACTTCAGAAGCATGCTGCCTGCCTGTGCTGGGCACAGGGGGGAGGGGAGGGGGGGACCTCAGGAGGCTAGAGACAGCAGAGGAATGAGCAGGGGGCTGGAGACAGCCCTGGAGGCATTCCCCTTCTGTCCCTTGCTTTCCTGAGGCTGGGGACAGAAGGAGAAAGTCTCCGGAGCTGTCTCCATCCCCCTGCTTCTTCCCCTGTTGTCTCCAGCCTCCCAAGGCTGGAGAAAAGCAGGGGAAGAAGCAGGAGGCTAGAGGCAGCAGGGAAATGTCTGTGGGGCTGCCTCCAGCCCCCTGCTCCTTTCCCTGCTTGTCTCCAGCCTTGGGGGAGCAGGGGAAGGAGCAGAGGTCTGGAGGCAGCAGGGGGCTGGAGACAGGGGAACAAGCAGGTGGCTGGAGACAGGCCTGGGGGCATTTCCCTGCTGCCTCTAGTCCCCTGCTCCTTCCCCTGCTCCTCCGAGGCTTGAGACAAGCAGGGGAAGGAGCAGGGAGCTGGATATGAGCAGGAGGCTGGATACAAGCCCCTAGAGATAAGCTGGAGACTTCCCCTGCTCTCTCCAGCATCCTGCTTGTTCTCTGCTACTGCTGGTGAGTGGTGAGGGGTGGTGCTACTGGGTGGTGGCTACAAGAGCAAGCAGGGAGCTGGGGGAATGAACAGAGGGTGGGGGGAATGTGTGTGGGGCAGAGGGAATGAACGGTGGATGGGGGAATGAATGGGGAGCAGGGGAATGAATGGAGAGCTGGGGGAACCAATAAGGGTGGGGGGAATGAGTCTCCTGTTCATTCTCTTATTCTCTCCAGCTTTCTGCTTGTTCTTCTGCTCATCTCCAGCCTCCAGAGGCTGGACAAAAGCTGGGGAATGAGCAGGGGGCTGGAGACCAGTGGGGTGGAGTAGAGAGGGAGCTGTCACCCCTGGGGGAGCCTGGGACCCTGCAGGCAGGGTAGTTCATGTGCTGTGGTGGGGGGGGGGCTCTGCCCTGTGGGGGGGCAGGGGACCATTGGCGATGCATAGGAGGTGCACATGCACTCCCTGAGCATGGTGGTGCACCCCCTCAAAAAAGGTGTTGCCTACACTGTCAGTGATGCCTGTAAGTGGTTGCTGCTTGCCACCCCCTGCTGCCAGTGGAGTCTGTGGGCAGTCAGCAATATCTGCTGGCCACCTCTGTCACTGCCAGTGGTGTCTGTGGGTGCCTGCCGCTCACCACCCCTCCACCTGCTGCCAACTTTGCGGGCGGCATCTGCAGGAGCTCCCCACATACCACTGCTACCATGCTTCCAGTGTCACCATGCCCTGCCAGCTTCCGGGGGCATGTGGCATTCATGCAGGGGACCTACCCCTTCTAAGCAGCCCCCACACGCACAGTCCCCCCACACCTATCCTCACAGTGACTCACATTCCCCCACATCCCTCCACACCCACCTACATCCCTGTAATCAGTAAAGTTATCCATCATTTTAAACATGGTGAACTGAATGGGAGAGGGAGAGGTGC